CCTGGTTCTTACCCCGTATCTCCTGGTTCTTACCCCATCTCCTGGTTCTTGGCATGGAGCTCCTCACACCTGTTCTTCAGCTCCAGGTTCTCCTCCTGCAGGCTTCTCACCTGCACACAACACCCAGGGGCCAGCGGTGAGCTGGGGACAGGATGTGACAGGTCTCCACGCGTCTCCAGTGACAACTCCAAGTTATAGGAACCTTGAGCAGGGACCCTGCTCCATGACGACTAGCACCTTGAAGCCACCAGCACCCAGGGACACAGGCCCCCCCTCACCCGTGTCCCCCGGCCGGTGGTCCTCACCGCGGCATCCAGGTCCTTCTGACTGTACTGCAGCACGTCCACGATGTGACCCACAGGCAAAGGCGGGCCCCCAGGCCCCAGGCCCCCCAGGCCAGGGCTTGGCGCCTGCAGAACACACAGTTCAGAGACAAGCTGTCCTGCACGTTTCCCAGCCTCATCTCCCGCCGGCCCACCCGAGACCCTCCAGCAAAGAGACGCGTGACCTAGTCCCCCAGGCAGGGCCGCTCGGAGGGCAACGCCCTGCCATTTCACCCCTAAAGGGGCCAGCTCCCTGAAGAAGGGACAGGCTGGGTCCTGAGCGGCCTCACTTCTGGACACAGAGAGGACACAGTACTCACGGGGACATCCAGAGCGCCTAGGAAGTCGAACTCCACCAGCCTGGCTTCTGGTGGGGGCGGGCCTCCCGGGGCTGCGGTGCTCTCCGCCTGAATGCTGGGGACAGAGGACGGGGGGCTGCAGCCGACGGCTCCGCAACTTGTACCAAACAGGACAGAGTCAAAGGGCCTAGTCTCAACCAAGCCCCCCATTTGCTTAAACCTTGTTAGGTGCTGTCAGGTACCACTCACAGTGACCCTGTGACAACACGTCTGCATCCCGTCCCATCCTCACCGCCCGACACACTCGAACCCAGCGCTACAGTCCCTGGTCAGCCCATCTGGTGGAGGTCTTCCTCTCTCTTACTGACCCCCTATACGCCAAGCATGACGCTCTGCCTTGTTGTTAAGTGCCACTGAGTCAAGTATGACGCTTAGTGACCCTGCGAACAGCAAAACCTGCGCTGGCCTCCCCATCTGACATGCTCGAGCCCACTGCTGCAGTCACTGGGTCAGCCCATCTGGTTAAGGGTCTGTTTAAACTTAGGACCAAGCCACAAGCCAAGCGCAGGAACTGTTCATCAGCTGTCTGCATCCTCAACAAATCAGAATAATGCAGGAGACCCTCCTGGTGTGGACAGTGCCTGGGCCTTCTGTCCCCAGCGTCCAGTCCTGTCGTTTTGGGTACCAGCACGCAAAGGGCCGCTGCTTGGTCGCAGTCACGCATACAAACTGCACTGTGGCCTCAGCTGCAGACGCGACCTGGTGCTGACCCGTCTGTGAATCTCGGGGTTCACAAGTCTGTCACAGTCGGCCAGCAAACATTCCCCGCGGCCCCCAGGCCTACATGCACCTCAGACCCGCATAACTCTGCCCTTCCCAACTCGAGAGCAGGGGCTGGCCGGTCTGCTGCTCAAAGGTCAGAGAGCTCGTGCTTTTAGCTTGGTGGCCACACGACCCTGTCACACCTGCTCACACCCGCACACAGGAGGAGGGCTGTCCCCGGCGGCCACGTTTTGCCAGCCTCCTCCTAAAGCCTCTGTTCTGTGGTCTGCGTCTTTAATCTGCTCAGGGAATGCAGTAACCAACATGCCTCCTCCCCCCAGGGGACACCGGCTAGCAGGGACACTCCGGGAGCAGGTGTCAGCTCCGCAGAGCCGGCCACTCACCCACCTGGCTCCCCTGAGTCCCTCTACAAACTTCCAGGCTCCTCACCACCAAGTAAGGCCGCCGGGGCGTCAGCATCGTCGCCTCAGCTGCTCAGGGCTCAGAACTTGGGGGACAAGCAGCCCGCCTAGCTGCACAGTGCCCTCGTCTCTGCACTAAAGCGTCAGGGACAGACAGAGGGGCGCCTCACCTGCCGTTCTCTGTGACCACTGGAACCAATCTGCTGGGACTGTCTCTCAGCAGCGGGTCGAATTTGAGGTACAACGACTGCTTCCTCAGGGCAGACTCCTTAAACTGCAAGGGAGGCGGAGCTTGGGGGTCAGGTCTCCCCCGTCTGCCCTCATCAGCACCAGCCCCCAAGATGTGCTCCATCTCGTCCCTGGAGAGTCAGGGCCCTGGGCCGCTCTGCCTCGTCTGCCCACGCAGCTGACCCCCAGTGTGGGCCGCTGACCGGAGGGCTGAGAGCACCCTGGGAGAAAGGCCTGGTGACTGATGTGAAAATCTGGTCACAGCAAGCCCCTGGAGCTCAGCTCTACGCTGACCTACATGGCCTGATGGGCGGACCCACATGGGACCGATGGGCGGACCCACATGGGACCGATGGGCGGACCCACATGGGACCGATGGGCGGACCCACATGGGACCGAT